GTTCCAGGAGGTTTTTTGGTGATTTTTTTAATGTTTTTTACCAATTTTTGCTGTTTTTCCCCCAGCTGTACTCGGAGCTGCTGCTGCAGGCGGGCCCCGCGCTGCGGGCGCTCCCCGAGTTCCAGGAGGTTTTTTGGTGATTTTTTTTGCTGTTTTTTCCCAATTTGATGATATTTTTTGCTGTTTTTTCCCCCCAGCTGTACTCGGAGCTGCTGCTGCAGGGCGGCCCCGCGCTGCGGGCGCTCCCCGAGTTCCAGGAGATTTTTGGGTGATTTTTTGGTGATTTTTGGGTGATTTTTTTGCTGTTTTTTCCCAATTTGATGATATTTTTTGCTGTTTCCCAGCTGTACTCGGAGCTGCTGCTGCAGGGCGGCCCCGCGCTCCAGGCTCTCCCCGAGTTCCAGGAGCTGCGCGAGCTGGGCCGGCGCCTCTCGCTCTTCTTCAGCCTCCAGCGGCCGCGCGGCCGCAGCGCGCTGCTGCTGCTGCACAGGTCGGCAGGGGGGAACACCGGAATTTGGGGAAAAAAATGGGAAATTTGGGGAAAAATGGGAAATTTGGGGAAAGAAAACAGGGATTTGGGGGAGAAATGGGGATTTTGGGGCAAAAAATGGGAGTTTGGGAGGATTTTGCTGAATTTTGGGTGGATTTTGGGTGAATTTTGGCTGAATTTTGCTGAATTTTGGGTGAATTTTGCTGAATTTTGGGTGAATTTGGGTGATTTTGAGTGAATTTGAGTGGATTTTTGGGTGAATTTTCGGTGAATTTTGGTGACTTCAGCTGAGTTTGGGTGAATTTTGGGTGAATTTGGGGTGATTTTGAGTGGATTTTGTTGACTTTTGGGTGGATTTGAGTGGAGTTTTGGGTGAATTTTGCTGAATTTGGCTGAATTTTGGGTGAATTCTGCCAGATGTAGCTGAATTTTGGGTGATTTTGGCTGAATTTTGGGTGATTTTGGCTGAATTTTGGGTGATTTTGGCTGAATTTTGGCTGAATTTTGCTGATTTTGCGCCTCCCGGCAGCGAGGGGATCCAGTTCTCGCTGCAGGCGCTGCCGGAGCCGCCGGGGGGAATCCCGGGAATTCCGGGAATTCCGGGGGGGCTCCCCCTGCACCTGCCCTTCCTGGAGGTGCTCAGCGAGTTCTCGCCGCGCCTGCTGCGCCCCGACCGCGCCCTGCTGTGAGAGCGGGGCGAAAAACCGGGATTTTGGGAAAATTGGGGCGTTGGGGGGGAAATTGGGGGATTTGGGGGAAATTTGGGGAATTTGGGTGGGGTTTTGGGGAATTCAGGGGAAAATTGGGGGGATTTTTAAATTTGGGGAAAAGAAACCACCCAAAATTTGGGAGGAAACAACCCCAAAATTTGGGGAAAAAATACTCAAAATTTGGGGGGAAAACTCCCAAAATTTGGGAAAAAAAATCTCAAAAATTGGGGGGAAAAACCCCCAAAATTTGGGAAAAAAATCCAAGAAATTGGGGGGGAAAAAAAACCCCAAAATTTGGGGGAAAAATTCCCATTTTGGGGATAAAAATCCCCAAATTTTGGGAATTTTCCCCCAAAAAATTCTTGGATCTCCCCAGACGCCCCTGGAGCAGCCCCGGGACCTCTTTGGCTCCTCCAGCCTCGACTCCCAGGTGAGATTTTGGGGAGTTTTGGGATTTTTGGGGATTTTTTGGGGATTTTTGGTGTTTTCCCCCAAAATTTGGTTCCTTTCCCATTAAAAATGAACATTTCGGGTGAAATTTGGGATTTTTTGGGATTTTCACCCCAGAGGCTCTGAGGATGAAACCCCAAAATTTTCCTTTTTATTTCTTTGTCCATTTTTGGGGTTTTTTACCCCAAATTTGGGTCCCTACAATTTAAAAAATCCCAAAATTCTGCCATTTTTGGGTGGATTTTGGGGAATTTTTTGTGTTAATCCCAAATATTTTGGTGTTTTCCCCCCTCTCTTCTCTTCCAGACTTTCTGAAGACAGAATTCCAGAATTTCCTCGACTTTTTCCCTTTTTTTGGGGTTTTCATCCCAAAATTCCCAATTTTTTCCCCAGTTCAAATTGCAAAACTGAGTTTTTTGGGGAATTTTTGGGATTTATCCCAAATATTTCGGGGTTCCCATTCCTTTATCTCCTTCCAGGTTTTCTGAGGATGGAATCCCAAAATTCCCTCCCGATTTTTTCCCATTTTTTGGGTTTTTCATCCCAAAATCCAGTTACAGAATGAGCATTTTTGTGCCATTTCTTGGGAATTTTTGGGATTTATCCCAAATATTTTGGGCTTCCTCCCCTTTCTCTCATTCCCGACATTCTGGGAGCTGAATCCCAAATTTCCCTCCCAGTTTTTTCCCGTTTTTTGCCGTTTTAACCCCAAATTTCCCCCAATAAAAAACTGCAACAACTCCTTCGTTTCTGGGCTCTTTTTTGGGAATTTCTTGGGAATTTCTTGGGAATTTCTTGGGAATTTCTTGGGAATTTCTTGGGAATTTCTTGGGAATTTCTTGGGAATTTCTTGGGAATTTCTTGGGAATTTCTTGGGAATTTCTTGGGAATTTCTTGGGAATTTCTTGGGAATTTCTTGGGAATTTCGGGGTCTTTTCCCAAAATTTTGGGGTTCCCGCCCTCTCTTCTCTTTCTGTACTTTCTGACCTCAGAATCCTGAATTTTCCACCCCTTTTTTCTCATTTTTCACCCCAAAATTCCCAATAAAACCCCAACACCTCCCTCGTTTCTGCCCAAATTTTTTGGGAATTTCGTTGGAATTTTTGGGGAATTTCTTGGGAATTTTGGGATGTTTTTCCCCAAATATTTTGGGCTTCTCCTTCTTAGTTTTCTTTATTGTTTTGGAAGCAGAATCCCGAATTTTCCACCCCTTTTTTCCCCAATAAAAATGCCAACACCTCCACCATTTCTGGACCAGTTTTTTTGGGAATTTCATGGGAATTCTGGGACCTTTTCCCCAAATATTTTGGGCTTCTTCTGCTTCTCTTCTTCCCATGGGATTTTGGGAGCAGAATCCTGAATTTTCCACCCTTTTTCCCCCATTTTCCCCCCAGTAAAAACACCGACAACTCTGCCATTTCTGCACCCTTTTTTCGGGAATTCCGCTGGAATTTCTTGGGAACTTTGGGATCTTTTCCCCAAATATTTTGTGTTTCCCATTCCTTCTCTTCCCACACTGTTCTGGGAGTGGAATCCCGAATTTTCCACCCCTTTTTTCCCCGTTTTCCCCCCAAAATCCCCCAATAAAAACGCCGACACCACCGCCGTTTCTGCACCGTTTTTTTCGGGAATTTCGCTGGAATTTCTCGGG